GATTTAAATCTAGGCGTACTAAATAATTGTCATGATTATTCTGACAAGAATTATTCACGGATTGAAAAATGTTGTTCTATTCAATGGAAATTGACTGAGGTACCAAACTGATTCTTATCAATTAATGCATTTAAAATTTGCTTCAATTGAGCAATGGTCTTCTTCACGGTTACCAGCGCCATCTTGAAAGGTAGCCGTGCCTTTACATCGAAGCGAGACGAGCGTTGAGCGTGCAATGATAGAAACCTATGAATAATTGTCTGTAGGTGTGAAAGAAGGTTTCTATCAYTGCACACTCAACGCTCGTCTCGTTTCGATGTAAAGGCACGGCGGATGTCAATATGCTGATTCTTGCAKTCAAGGGCTAGGCTACCTTCCAAGATGGTTGTGGTAAATGCAAAATTGACAAGTGGCATTTTCCAGCAAAGTCTCTTGATATTGACTTCGACCATTTTCATCCCAACTTCTGCCCGACAATTTGAATTTAACAACATTTCTCCTTTTAAGTTTATATATTTACGATCGAGAAAACATGTTCTTTTTCTAATCGAGAATACCACTGAAAGTACCATTCTTTCCTTCAAGTATTGGCTTGGATTTAGGAGACTCAACTGGGCTTGCTGTGGTGCGAAATATAAATTATTAGTATCCAACAACTTATGGTGTACAGGGGAGGATCCAGGATTTTCCTCAGGGAGGAGTGTGGGGATCTCAGGAGGAGGTGCACCCCAAAAAAATCATTACCATGAAGATAAAAAGTAAGGAAAGCATTGAAGGATACAGTAGACCTCAGGAGGGAGTGCGCAACCCCTGCATCTACCAGCTGGATCCGCCCCTGGTATATCACAGATCGCGCGCTCTCRTTGGCTGCTCAACCATGGTACATTCGGGCTTTGCGTCTAATTGTTAATTATTATTATAATAGTAATAACAAGCAAACTAAAACAAAGGAATTCTAATTGCAAAAKTARTGAAAACTCTATACCTTGGKTTTTTTCAGGAGAGTTGGGTGTGGCAATAGGTGGATAGTRGGCTTCCATTCTTTCCATGACTAAATCAGCGATCCTATTTTGGTCTTCTTGTTGTGTGTCACYGAATAGTCTCATAGTAGAATCGGTCACCTAAACATGGAAGATATCATATCTCAACATTTGTGTTCAAAAAGATAAATTTTATRCTATAAAAGATAAGCGAAACAACTCCTGAGACCTCCTGACGTTTTGGAAGTTGTACCTTCGTTACGGTCCTCCGACGAAGGAATAACGTCCGAAAAGTCAGTCATTTCTCTAACTTTTTATAGTGTAATTTTTCTTATTCACAACTGTTTCTTCAGGAAAAACACCGACGCAGCTCAAACTAGTTTTCCGCTAGTTTTCATCATTTAAACTACGACAAAGATGTTTTTGGTGATAAATTTGTGTATAATACTTTCTTATTCAATTCTGTACCGGTGACTAAACAGAAACATTTCTTCAGAATAATTGACCAACTACAACGTTAAGTACCTCTATTATGTAGTCTTTTTTGTCTTTGCCTTGAATGACCTCGACGCATAGAATATCAAGTCCACCAAACAGCTCACTGCACTCGTCCACCCAGTTCTTGTATCTGTCAATCAGACATACAAATGTTCTTTCTGTCTTTGATAACGTTTTTTTTGCGGTTAATATAGAAGCAGGTAAGCAGCACGTGTTAACYGCACCCACCTGTCGTTYAGTTCGATTTGTTCTAATAAAGCAGACCCTGTATTCGTTTTCCAGTTATCTGAAATAGATGTTCTCCTGTTTGGAGATGTTCATAGCATTAATTACTACTTGATCTATAMAATTATAAAAAGAATCTAAAATGGAAAGACAATTATCATGCAGTCGGACTTCTATTAAGCGATCGACAATTTATTTAGTCACGTCCATTAAGTGAGCGG